GACCGGATTATGAGCTTGCTCATGTCACGACGGTGACGTCGTCAGTGATGGATTTGATTCGCGCCGCGTACTCGGGTGATGATATGTGCGTACCGCTACTACGGGCTCTCGGGCGCAAGGAGTTTAAAAAACTCGGATAAGAAATTGTCGTCGACCAAATATTGCTGAGTAACGGATTGCTGTTTTATAGCACCGACTCATCGGATACGTCACGAAATGTGATTCCTCGCGATGAGGATCTGAAGTACCGTGTCCTCAATGAGGCCCACGACATCCCACTTAATGGCTTTCTTGGTTGTGAGAAGACCTACAGCTCTGGGAGTTGCCATCTTCAGTCGAATAAGGCGCAACGCCGACTTCCTTCGTATTGTCACCCTGCTTCGTATTGATTAATCCACCACGCTTCCGCGAGCTCCGTGGTCTCTCACACGGGTAAGTCTACAGCCACAGCAGCTCGTGGCTCATTGGCTTTCCCGGCTATTGCCGAGAAGCGCGGACGTGCGACGCCGCGAAGCGTCATAAGCTCTTTGATTGTTAGCGTCCACGACATCTAGGTAGTCTTTCCGAAGTGGCACCTAAAACACTCACGAGTTCTCGGAGTTTAGGTATCCCCGCCACCTCACAATATATTGGGTTAAACTCCGTCGACGATATCGACCAACAAGGCGTTCCCATGTGATAGTGGATGCCACTGTTCTCGTCGAGAAGAGACGGCGGCGGACGATGATGACTCGGTCGATCGCCGTTCGGTGGCTCGCGATGCTCTCTGAGCTCTGCAGGACAAAGTCCGTCGCCATCGGGGCTTGTTTATCCTTTTTTTAGATAACAAGAGAGAAAGTAAACATATAAGATTTATATAAATAGATCGGGTTTGAACAACTCTTGTATCGTCTTAATAAACAAAAAAATTAGACTGAACGGCAAATAAACAAAAAATGTTCTGATTATTTAGTTCAAAATTAAGCATTTCATTTATTTTATTTTAGCGATAACGTGTTTAATATTTTTATATGAAAGTCTGACCATGCCACACACACATATTTAGCGAATGAGTGAAGTGCTCAAAACCATCGAGGAAATTAGCAGCAAAAGTGCGGCGGCAGGTCGAGGTACAATACAGGCGACAATGGATGTTTGTAACATCGTCACTGCGCGGAAAGACTGTTGAGTGTGCAGTGCACAAAAACTTTGGAGAAACATATTATCATATACATGTGTAAGCCAAGAAGATCGCTTTTCATCTATCTGCAACAGGCAGTAATGCATTTTATTAAAAATAGATGTTTTACTTCAAGATAGGAGCAGGTGGTGCGTTATACGATCTAATGCAAGATTGATGAAATGCGGAAACGAAATATTATATTTTGCTGCTTTCGTTTTTTTGCTATGATTCTTAGGCTCAAGAAAATTCAAGGTGATTTTGGGATTTTCGGGACAATAAGGCGTGCCGACGAAGTATGTTTACATCCCAAACGCATATGTCATGACCAGAAAGGTGGACCATGCGGAAAGATACTTGCGTATTTCACAGGACATGGATGCTATTAAAATGGCGGGGAGTTACGAGAAAGGACAACTGGCGGTGAAGCTAGAAAAATTGTTATTTGGATTACGCAAACCCGTTAGGTTATGTTGCATGCTCTTGCCGAGTATACTGGTGACCTGGGTGTACGTGGTGCATTGCAGGCATGTTTGCACCGCAAACGTCAAGAAAACACACGACTATGGCGAGCTTTTACGTCGATGACCTGCCGTTTATGGCGTCAATACCTGCTGACGCTTCTTCATAGATATAAAGATCGTCCATTAGAAACGTTAGAAGGGTCAGGAAGATCTTGTGTGTGTAAATGGAGCTGAAAAAAATTGGGGGCTTTGCGTTGGACCATCGACGGAACCACGGTCCGAAAAATTCAATAGCGGTAAGGCTAAGTACTGGATTCTATAGTGATAAAAAGGATGACAACATATGGTTACTATAAGTGGTCCGACGCAAAAAGGTATCATTGTTTGGTGGAGAGATAACTCTCGATTGCTTGATGCACGAGACCGGATATTATCTTTGCGGTGCATAAGGCAGCGAGTACGACCCGTCAGCCAGCCATGAGTAAATGAGAGTCGCCAAAAGATTTAAAGGACATAATGAGATCCGTTGAGTCATGCAAAGACAAAGATAAGGGGCACACATGTAGAATTACCACTCCAGTGGAGGCGACAGATAAGCGCGACCAAAAATAAGTCTTAGTAGGGATTATAATAATGGGTGGTGTCAGTTCATACTGAATATACAAGAAGCAAATTATGGGAGCTGTTTTTTTGCGCTTGCAAGTTAGACACAATATTTGAGGGCTGCGTGAATCAATTTGAATGTCAGACTGATGTGTCTCAAGCCCAATGAAGATGATAATGGACAACTAGACTGCGATCAGGCAGCCGAAGTCAGAAGAAGGCACCGCAAATGAACAATGTGTTCACTAAACGATCGCATTCATGTGCTACTAATCGAAGAAAGAGACGTCAACTCGAGAACGTAGGTCTAAAATATGACCACTGGAGCGGGGCTGCCATAGCTCTTTGCTTCGAGGAAGCTAAGCTAAGTTCACCGACCTGACCTTCTCTCCAAGAAATAGTACAAGTGTAGCGGATTGCTACTTCTAAGTACTTAAGCCTTACCAAGGCAAACGAACACTTCTGTTCAAAATCGAAACTATATTTAATTGCGGCAGAGCCGCAATGTCTAAAGCCCTAGGTTTTCCTAATTAGTATAGCAACACCTAATTAATAAAGTTAAGCCTAATTAATATAGTATATGCATTAATACTGGCAATTTTGCCATGTGGTGGCTTTTTTGTTACAGTGTAGACACACCACGGTGTGATTGCACTAACTGTTTATGTACGGTCGCACAAGATTGTGCGACCCGCCTTTTTTGTCAAAGGTACGTGTAACCCCGTTACAGTCACAGACCGTCGTTCGCCAAGGCGCTGCCGGCGCAAAGGATGGACGACATATGAACCATGGTTAAAATACAGTCACGCACAGAAGCTGTTAGGTGGATGGCAGTTATACAGTTATACATACAGCAATGGCGAGCAACAATTCGAATAAAAAACAATAATTGGAAAAACAAAAAATCGAGATCACACAATACTCGAAACGAGACAGATCGATAAGACAACGATTGAGCAGGCAAAGATTCGAAGGGACAAGATTTGAAAGATCGTGAGGAGCGACCACGGTGCGACGGACGAAGAGAATTGGCGGAAGACAAGCTCTTCCCTGACGATGCGAATTATCTGCGACCTAGCCAAGTTGAGGGTCACGATACAAAACTTAAGTGTGGTGATTTTGTATAAATGCTGCGTCAGTCACCGTATGTGTTCTTGCAACTTTAGCGATTTTATAGTGCAGCTTAAAACAGTGTATTGTAATTATTTATTATTGCAGCAATATATATAATTATCCAATTTTTTACGATCGTTAAGGTGCTGACGGGAGGTCCATGCTCATTCCTGCGTGCATGAAACGGTGGATTGATGCTTTTTCATGTTGTGACGATGCTCGGCAGTTGTAATCGACCGGTTGTCGACGGTGCATTCTTTTCTGAGCTGGTTGTGTTGCGTGGAGCTCTGTAATTGATTATAGTATGGGCATACTGTTCGACCCAGCCAGAGAAGTGAATCGAATACTGCCCACTTTGTGTTAAATTTTCAGATCTTACTGGTCAAAATCTCAGAAGACCCTTGGATAGGAGGCTAAAATGTAGTATCATAAATGAACCTCCCACTGTACACTATAAATATCCATGGAATCTATCAGATACTGCAAACGTCTGCGACATTGAAAACGTATCGACGCGCCAGTTTGAATGCTGCCTCAAACTGCAATTATAGATGATGCAAGAGCGAAGCAAATCCAGAGTAAATGCACTCATGATATTGTGGTTCAGCCAACGTTCAAAGTACCCTGTTGCGTGAACTTTTCTGAGGGATGAAAACCCGGCTAAAATGATAGCTACAATTTGGGCTTTGTGAAGTTGCTCTGCCCACAAAGGCTGTTGGCGATTGAGCGAATTTTCCCATGTCGCGCTTAATGCAAACAGTCCACCTTCGGATGTCACACTAAGTAAATTGCTAGAGCTGTATGCTATTAAATCTTGATATTACTCACTAAAGACGTTTTTTGATCACGGAAGTGACGTGATCAAACGTCTAGACGAAGTTCTAGAAAGAGCTCGAAGCTCGAAAATGCTACGAACTTGCGTCACAACGCTCTTCTACCATATGGTCATTTTAAACTAATTCCTGTGCAAAGTCGCCCTATTTCAAAAGTCGATTCAATAGCGAAAAAAACATTTTGTTTACTACTATAATTGATGAAGCTTAATCGTCTGAAAAGGAATTACTAAGCCATGACCGCTAAATTTTAGAAGCGACAAATGTCCGCAACCTTCATCCTGAAAAAAATTGTTTACAAGTCTACCTAGAACAAATAAAGTGTGTCGATGGAGCACACTGTAACGTCAATGTCCAAACTGTGACCATAAAGTACCGAGTGACAATCTTTGAGGCTGTTTTTGCGGTTGAAAGTAATCTCATAGCATTTTTTCCAATATTTCTGCCCCCTTGGATATGTTCCCTGCTTCACTTGGCACGGTCGTAGTCTGTGAAGCTATAGGAATCGTATGCGCTGGCACTGCTTCCTCCGCTATACGGTCTGGTCTCAGTAAGTTCATGCATCAGCTAGCATCCAAATTGTCATCTCCATTTTGTGATCCCACTTACCCTGTTGCCACTTTGACTGCAGGTGCGCAACCATTTCCGCTACATCCTGCAGACGCTTGTGAATTACCCGAGACGGCGTGTTTCTCAACTCTTCCAAAAGTGGCTGCATTTCTGAGGCAGCCATGTTCATCTTGTGATCGTTCGCCAGCGCCTCCTTCAGCATCAAACCCGAGACTGCTACAGGAAACAGTCCAAGCTTTTAGTCAGCATTCATTGAACGTATCCATAAGCAACAGGACCTGCAAATGGCGCTTTAATCAAAGCCGCCTTAACATTTGGCTTCGACTCTTGAAAGCTTTTGGTTGTGAATCCTTGTACAACAAGCCCCATATCATCAAAAGCCACAAAAGTATAAAGCAAGCTGTTTACTTACCAGATTCATCGGCCATTCGGTCAATGTCCGTCAGAATTCGCGCTGAAGGCTCATAAGCTATCGCAAGTCGCAAAGCATCAGCTACCACTATTTAATTTTTAAGATGAACATGTAACGACCAATTACCTGCATCATCTACATGCAGCTGGTGCTTATTCCCTGCTTCGGGCCCCAACAGCAATTCGTCGGGCACGGAGCTGTTGCTGGTGTAACAATTGTAGATCTCGTCACTAATCCTGTGGTTGTGCTGAGAGATTTGATTACGCACACGGACAAGCCAACGAACTCGATTTGGCTCTCCATCCACCACCTCAAACACGACGTCAGCAGTAATGCGGGCCAAGCAGCCCGTATATCGATTGTGCAGATGAGTACGCACTCCATGGCCCCGGGATGGCTGAATACAGCCATGTGTACACCAATAAGCCATTGTAGCATATTTAAAATCATCCGGCACGGGATACTTCTTGAACTTGTGCTTGTTATTCCAGTAAGTTGTGGTGGATGAGCTTCGACGTCGATACATGGTCATAGTACGCGTCATGTAGCTATTCCAGGCCTGAATAAATGCGTCCCATGTGTCAAAAGTCAGTGGCTCAAAAGCGGGCATACAAACTGTAACAGATCCACGCGATTTGGCCAAGTCCTCGCGCAACTGAAAGTTCTTGGTACGGCGCTTCTTAACCAGCGGCTCCTCTGTAACTGGATGAAGCGAGCGCGAGACCGAGAGCGAAGCCAATGGATCCTCTACGGGTGAAGCTGGCAGTACTTGAACAGGCAAAGGTGATGCTTCCTGAGTGGGCGAAGGTGACGGCTCCTGGTCAGGTGAAGTTGAAGCTGCTACGGCGTCCTTGTTGCTTGTCATCGCGGCTTCAGTTGCGGATGGACAAAATGAGAGGTAATGACTGGCCCGCAACATTACTATCGGATTTAACAGTCATATTATCAAATTGAGCAGGAGCACAAGAGACAAGTCGTCCGGATACAGGAGAATTGCAATGATTTGCACGAAATCACTAATTTCTGACTATGAAAACGAGATTATATTGTTTTGTCACATTCGATTTTGTTTTTAAAAACAATGTCATGTGTGGTGACAGAGATGTTTCGACTCTTGCCACCTTTGCGATTTTACCTGAAATCCAGCTGTTTGTGGTCATATGTCAATGCTGAGTTCGTACTTAGTGCTAGGCATTGTGGACGAGCTTGGAGAGCGAAAGGCCGACCGGGTAAGTTTGACTCACAGTACAGTATTCAGTTCCTGTGCAGACAGAGCAGCAGCACAACTGACGTGCCGGGGAGCAGGCAGGCGAGACACGGACTAGCCGCGTAGTCCCTCGCTCAGTGGCTGTGCATGCCCAAGTGCCATTTCTAGGCGTCGTTTCGGCTGCAAGAGAAACCTCCACAAGCTGTAGGATGGAGCTGGTGGAGGACGAGCCGGCTACGGGCAAAACGCTCTATGATGTAAACAACGATGGCGAGATCGTGCGACGTTGGATCGAAATGGTACTGGGCGACAAACTACAAGGTAATCTCCCAACAGCACTGTACTCGGGCGAATTGCTTTGCGACTTAGTGAACAAAGTGTACAAGGCGCTGGGTATGAAAAGCCAGATTAATCCCATGCGAAGTTCGGGCAACGACGATAGCGTAAGAAACAATTTACGCGAATATCTGCGGTGCGTATCTTTAGCACTCTTCGAGTCGTGGGCAGCAGTTAGAGCACTAACGCGCATTTCGCTTCATTGAACCATTCATTCTGAACAGAGCTTGTGAGGTACTTGGCGTCGCGCGTCAGTATTTGTTCGAGCCAAATGACCTTATACAGCTCAAGGATATTGATAAAGGTGAGACATCCTAGTTCGATGAACTTATCGTTAGTATTATTAAAAAACTGGTGTGGTAGTTTACAGCAACATTCTTGCGCTGCAGTCAGTGGCGATATCACTTTCAAATCGCCGCTCGATTGATGAACGAAGCTCTACAATCATCATACCGGTATGCCCGCCATCATTTTGCGTCATCTGAGTCAAGAACGTATTTATAATGTAACTAAGGGGTTGTATTCTTGTAGGACTGGCCTTTATTGTCGGAGAATGGTGAATTTGCCGACGAAGAGATTATGGAGACAGACGATTTGGACTTGATTTCACCTCAAGCTGTTCAGATGCTTCAACAATCGCGATGGGAGCGACTATTATCTGAATACGAGTATCAACAACAGAGACACGAAGAGCAAGATCGAGCTGATGATTCTTTAGCATCTGAAGGTCTAGGACCACTTGCGCATGGTATTTGGCGCACAGAAGAGCGTATTCGAGCCCTCATAATGCGTGACGATCAAGATTTTGGAGCAGTACCAGAAGGCTTACATGGTAAGCTCTGGATGTTAGCATCAGGTGCTCTTGTGGAAATGAGGAAACAAAAGGGTCAGTACGAGCGCTTAGTATCGTTGGAACTGGAGAATACAGAGGCAATACGGCAGATTGATGTCGATGTGAATCGGACGATTCCGGAAGAGGATAAAGAACTGTGGACCGACGAGAAATTAAAGATGATGCGACGTATATTAGTTGCGTATTCCTTCCACAATCCAGGTCTGGGTTATTGTCAAGGTCTGAATTATATTGTGGCACGAAGCTTGCAGTATTTATCGGAAGAAGAATCGTTTTACTTGCTCATTGCGATCATTAGGCTTGTGCCCGATGACTACTACACGACAATGGTTAGTGATATGACGTGCATTTGCACTCAAGTATAGATCTTCTGCTGTGCTGACAGGATGTGGTACTCTGTAGCTGGGACTGGCAGTGGACCAACATGTATTCGCAGATCTTGTACGCCTTCAGTGCCCGGATATTACTGAGCATTTGGCAGAGCTTGGTGGTTCTGGAATGGAGCTTTCGCTTGCATGTACAGAGTGGTTTCTGACACTCTTTGCTAGTCCCTGCGCGAAAGAAGTTACATTCAAGATTTGGGATGCGATTTTTCTTCAAGGTGATGAGGTAAATTTGGACTTTGAACCAAACAAGCTTCGTATCTTGCAAAAAATTATTGAGCAACTTGTCACTTTTGTAGATTCTGTTTAAGGTAGCATTGGCATTGCTACAACAAGAAAAAACTGAACTTCTTGCGTGCAAGACTTATGGAGATATGCTCAAACGTTTGAATGATGTATGTCTGCAGTTGTCTTGACATGATTCATAATATTTTACTAATTTGAAGTATGTTCAATGTGTAGCTTGGTCGAGGAGAAATCGATGCTTTGGCTTTGATGCGCGTTTCAAAGAATCAGGAATGTGTAGTTCGTGGCCGAATCGAAGACTTTAGAGCTCACCACCGTCTTCAGCTGGCATCGGATATTGTTGCCTCGACTGTCAACACTGATGATTCACGAAGCTCCACAACTGGACGGCGAAGTTCAGAAACGAGGTCAGAGCCTAGAATGCGAATATTCGGCCGCAAAAAGCAAGGTATATTTCGCCACATGGACAAAATTCCCCCTCGCTTGGCCAGGTACGTGCATGCGACTGGTGAGGATATAAGATTCAGGAAAGTAACATGTTTCCGTGAGCACTTTTAGAACATTCGGCCGAACACTCACCGAGGAATACATAGAAGCAATTCGACACGAGCATCCTAACTTTGCTCAGTATTATGATGGAGGTCCGCCTCAGGTTAGTGCTGTGTTATTTGATGCTGCTTTGATTGATGAAGCCTTACCTGGCTTGAGTCAATCATAGGTTAAGGAAGAATATTGGGGATCGGCAAGTTGTAGTCCGCGGAGACGTGCAAGTGGTGGTCGTCGAGAATGCATAGACGGATTTGCCGTCAGTAGCATAAAAGAGAACGAAGCGGATCATGCAATTGGTGAACCTCGCTTGATTAGTCGCCGCGCGACTTCGAACACATTTGAGGATCGTGGAGTTGAGCAGACCCGCGACCGTCGCAGCAAGAGTTCCGGCGTCATGCACGATGGAAAGATCCATAACAAAAGTGCAATGGCTGCACTGAGTAGTCGTCAAGAAAATGTTCGCGAAGAAGATTTTCATTTGATTGGAAAAACGCCAATGGCGTGGATTCAGCGCTTAGAAGAATGGCACAAAGATTTAAAATCTCAAAAAGAAAAGAAAAAAGCCGAAAAGCGATTACGTCGCAATCAGCGCTTAGACCATGTCATTCCTGGCTCCAAGAGCGGACAATTGGACGTAAATACTACGTGGTTGAGCGATGCCATTGACGCGTCCACGCGACCAGCAAATCAAACTCAAGATAATGAAGGTTTTACTAATAGTTACAGAAGGAGATCGAATGATTTCCAGCGGTCTTCTACCGAAAACATTGCATTACTGGAAGAGCCGTCGCTTTCGCGTTCGTATTCGGACCCTTTTCGGTCCCCTCCCAGCGTTGAGGGGGCGCGTCTGGTTAAACAATCGAGTGATACGATATACCGTGACGCTGACCAAGTCTCGACGTTGCCTCACGAGTCATTAAAAGGTGATATTGATGAGATCGCACGGACACTCAACCTAGAAGAAGTACGGAAAGTTAGTCAAAGCAGAAGTGGACGGGCTTCTCGTGGATTAAGTGACCAAAGCACATTGTCGAGGAGCACCAATTCGTACGTCAACACAGCTTCATTTAATTTGGATTTGCAGGAAGAAACCTCAAATGAGACAAGTTTGAACCGCTCACTTGACGAGAAGGATGCAAAAGAGGAATTACAAGGCGTGAGCCCAACATTAGCACAACTGACAAAGCCACTGGCACATGAGTGTTTATACTCGCCAGTAAACTGCCAATTAAGTTCAATGGACTTATTAACTGAAGGGGCTGGAACGTGTTCCTTGCCTCAAATGCAAAGAATTGAGTCTCATCTCGATGACGACTCGCTTGCTCTATATAAGCATCCACATAAGCCTAGGTTGGACTGCTCTCAGACGATGCGAGAGCGTGCTCAAGTCCTCCAGTACATGCATCGAAAGGCTAGCGATGCCAGTAGTATCGCGGGAAGCATTCCACGTAGTCCAGCTCGCCTTAGCGAGAGTTCTAGTGACTCTTCTCGATTTGCAGACTATACCAAGTCCATGCCATTTCGAAAAAGCTCGTTCTCATTCTTTGATAAACTATCAAGTGATTTGGAAAATAGTGCTCACGGACTTGACAGTCTGGTGGATGAGTCGGAGTTTAAAACCGACAGCATTGGCCGAGAGTCCATGTCTTCGGTCGCGACTGGTCGATCAAGCACAGTTGATGAGCAGCGACCTATGGGCGAAGCCATTTTCATCTCGTCTTGAAGAAATGAAATTACAATGATAAAGGCATTGATGACCTTTGAAACAAATACCAACGCTAAGAACGAGGCGATTGGTTTGATGGGTAGTGAAGTGAATGTTCGTTAAATAGAGCAAAAGTGCGATAATTCTTTATTTTTTTATTTTTGTAATAATTTTTTGCAGAAATATGGGCAAAGCATACGATGGTAAGAAGCGGTGGAATGAGACGATCCTAGCAACGACAGCTCGGGATTCCGCGACCGGCGGACGGCATGCTGCTACAAAGAAACGTCTATCAGGTATGTTGTCTCTTTATATCCGCTGTCCAGGTCTTCTAGAGCTCACTGTAGACCTCGCAAACGGGCCGCTACGTAGTAATGCCATAACGAAAAATTATAATGGGTGTATGCATCAGGCCGAACGCATAAGTTGAGTGTGGCAATGCGACATGTGGATGATGAAACGCGAAATGAAGTACGGAGTGCTCGATTAGACGCACTCGAAGCTGATAATTTCGGCGAAGATATTGAAGATGGTGTCGGAACACAAGATGGAGATGAAACGTACATTGATGAAGAAGAAAGAGACGTTAAATTCATATCTGGTGGGCGAGAAACCAGTAGGAAGAGCAGGAGGACTGTTATTCCGGGAAAAAAGAAGTGGAAGGTGAAAAGTTTAGCTCAGTTGGTGTTCGAGGAATTGGGCAACGGCGAAAATGCAGAGAAACCTAATTATCTGACAGTGGCGGCAGGCCCTTCGACATTTCCGGCACGAAAGTTTTGCTGCGTGTGTGGATTTTTCGCCAACTACTCATGCCGACGATGTGGATCAAAATACTGTAGTGTGGGGTGTGAAAACCACCACAAGGAGAGCGGCTGTATGAAGTTTGGGCTGTAACGTTGTCATAGATTTATGAGTGGTCCGAAACGTTTTCTGATTACTGGACTGATACTATAGATATATGCACAATTAAATTAATTAATCATACACCATTTTGAATCATAAAACTGTCTGCATGGCTAGATTGTCGTGCACTTCGCACAGATGAATTTTCGAATCAACGAGTCCGCCTGAACTGCTTAGTATCTTGATAGCCATATGTAGCATTGATTTGCTTTGGACGAATGCTCTTTGTAAGCATTTTACCAGAGTAAACTTGGCTTTATTAAAAAATGTCGGACAACAGACCACACGCACTACAGACTTCTTTTTTTCAGATTCCATCCGCTTACAGAAGTACCACATGATGCTATCAGCGCCAACACCATGACGTCCAAACTCAATAGGGCGATCTAATCTTTTAAGCAGGCTTGGACCAGGACGGTACATGTGGTATTCCTGACAGTCGGAGCTATCAAAGCTGATCAGTGCGCCATTGTAAGGATTGGGAGACACAAATATACGGTGGAAACGTCTATGCGTGTATATACATCGACGATATGACGAGGCGATAGTTCCAGGAAACCGTTACACGTGGTCAGCCTGTA